TATGGCAACCAGCATGGGACTAGGGGCGGCAGGTGTTGGGTGGCTGCACCTATAGTGCTAGGTATTGAAATAACAGCTGGGGTGACAGGGGTGTTAGGCTTGGTGCTTAAATTTGTATCACGCAGACTGCATCGTAAAGCATTGAAACACGATGAGATCAGGGTTCTGGCCGAAGCAAAGCTGAACACGGTGAGTGAGCGTATTTCCACGGCACTCACTGACAGTAAGATCTCGGAGGAGGAGTTTTGTTCAATCCTCTCTGAACTCACAAAATATGATAAAATGAAACAAGAGATTCGATCCAAGTCTCGTAAGTCTGCTATCAGCGAGGATGAGAAAAAAAAGTACATAGAACAGGGGGTACAAAAAGCCCGGCAAGCCTTTATAACGAACACCAAAGAGATCATAGTCGATTCACATTAAACTGTTTCATCGAGGTCAACGTGACATAGTGTCATAGCGGCACGTAGAGCTATACAACATAGATAAAGTGGATGAACCTACCTTGTATTACTTGAGGTATAGGCCAGGCAGAGGACTATTGATCGTAGTGTTACCTCCAGACAACAGCACATGATGTGTGGGTGCGCGTGATCTACCCGTTAAATTGACCTACTTCAGTTAAGTCCGCTGTCACGTGATGCGTGGGTGCGCGTGATCTCAGGATAGACCCGTTAAACTGACCTACTTCAGCTAAGTCCGCGGTAGCTCAGTCGGTTGAGTGGTGCGACCCCATTATATATAGTCTGCGCAAGCTGTTCATGTGGAGTTCGTATCCCACCGTCACAACTTCGTGTGATGTGAGGTTCTCTCATGGTGAGAGACACAATTCCCCTTGGGAGGAAGCGCAATACATTTCTATTTCTCCCTTGGGGAATTGTGGCTGCCGGGGGACATTTTACTAATTTTTCATAGTAGGGGTAATGGTAGCAAGAGCTAAGGGTCCGACCAAAGCCTTATTTGGGAAATAAGGCTTTGCAGAGGCTTTTGTTGGACTTGGTCCAGGACAATCATTTCCTCTACTACTCCATCACTTGGAGAATGGAGTGGATTTCGACTTGTTGATCTTACTCCCCTGTTGGCCCCAACGACGTGCTATTGCTGAATTACCTGTTGTTAATTTGCTGCTTGTCACTATGCATATATACCTCTATTCACCTGGTTGTAGTAACTTTTATCTTGATAACGGCGTGAGAATATACATGGAAACTCCCCTCTATCGACCTTTGATCCAAACGGATGAGTTAACAGAAATGTTGATGCCCGTCTGTTAGCAAATTAACATTGGATTATAGAGACAACGATACTTAGCATATATACATTGAAATATACAACACATAAAAAACATAGAAGGCGTAGTAAGCCACGAGTGGTAACGGGAGACTATATGGACATATAATCATAAGTACGTTATAAATATATTAAAGATGAGAAAGAAGAGACGCTGAATCAGCAAACTGTCCAACAGTTAACATTCCATTTTGAAACTGGTGCACGAACGAGGTGTAGGAATAAACTTCTGTTCAAGTTGAGCATTAGCCATTTCGGGGTCGAATGTACACTTTCATGCTTCTACTCATTATATATCCCCATGTAATTAGAGGGGAATTGATCCAGAGCGATTAATGTTTCTCGCCAACAGTCTAATTTCCAAACCAAACTGCAAGCTTGTCTGTATCTGCTCCCTCGATCGTGACGGACACAGGGACTGGGCTTCTGGCCACCTTGACAAAATTTCTTCAACCCAAACAGCGGGACATTAGGAAGGGTGGATGCTCATCCGATGCTATTATTTGAGAATACCCCTGGTAGTTCCTGTCTGATTGCAATAAAGTATCCCAGCAGTGTATGCTTTTCGGATTTTCTAATGCATAGATGGCATAGTGACTGATCCAAGTTGATCTTATTTCTGTGGGTTTTTTACCTCGGTATTCAAACATGCCATGTAAACATATGATGTCTATTGCATATTATATTTATGACAAATGAAAATTTACTTAGGTATATGCAATTTTAACTTCAGTACACATCAAATGCTTATACGTATTTCTTATGCAACAATGAAGTTCCGTTCGTATCCTCCAAACAGTGTCGGCCCATAAGTTTTTTCAGGCAATTAACATTGCATGCAATTCAGCAAGTACTACGCCTTTTGCTGTAACCAGTGCTTGGTGGTATAAACCTACACATGTTATTTGTCATCATTCACTTGATGGTCAGTTAATGAATTTATAACAGGTATGATGGTAATACCACGCAGATTTCCCGACAAAGGTTCCCATTTCGCATTTCTTGTGTCTGGAGTAAATACTCAGCATTATGAGTTAAGGTCTGATGTGACAAATGTATTACATGTTATGTAATATGCGCATGGAAGTGCAGCAAGACGAATTATCAGCTGAGATACAAAAACAAACATTGATCAAAGGACACGCCAGTTGATTAATTACGTTTATCTTGCACAGCGGATTTGTCAAAAGGTAGTGTTTATGTTTGTAGATTTACTAATGTATACTGATTACACCCTGTCGTAAAGTACCTGTGTAAAAACAACATCTTTCCTTTAATGTATTAACCGCCAGTAAGTTCATGGGGGTATTCCTCTTTTGCCAGTTGGGCAAGTTGTTTATTAAAGGTCATATGCAACGTAAAACACAACTTTGCAGATTCTGATACCTTTCGGTATGGACTTACCGAAACAAATCATCAAAAATGCAAATTCAAGTTATAAAGTTGAAAAATAACGTGATGAAAAAGCCCCGCGAAATCGGAGTTTAAACGATTCACTAATTTTCCCCAGACTTTTCTGGGGAAAACGGGTTTCAACAGCTGGGCTGGGCTCAAAGCACGTGCGCAAGTAAATAGGTTCGCGCAGCTTGGAAGCGGGTTGTCGGGTGATTACGCGGTGAAGGCTTTGGTGTGAGCTATTTTTCTAATGTTTTGTTGATATCTCACAGGCGCGAGCTTTTTATATGTTATGACAGTAAATTAACTGTTTATATAATTTCATTTGTCTATTTCACCACACGTTCTTCTTACCGAGACACTTTCTCAGTTCGATACCTAAAAGCAATGTCATTATTTAGCGTTGACAGAATGTCTAACTGTGATATAGATATGTCGTTGTCACAGACAAAACTCAATGTCTTGTTTTATTGACACCTATGTGTCTGCCTGCCTGTCTGCTAATGACAATATTCAATACACAACTGCTATCACTGACCACATGCAATTTGAACTTAACACCAATCAGGCTATACACCATAAACAAAATGCATTGATTTATGGCCCGAGTTCGGTCTCTGTCACATTATGTAATTACACAGACAGGCAGGTGTGATACTTGTACACATGACATGTTATGATGTCTGTTGATTGCAAAATGTTATACACAAAAAATGAGCATGTATTTACAAAACCCAACATGTCTATATATATATACACACAATTAGCCGTGAGGGCATCTGCAAATGAACCAGCCGTTACACTTGAGTGCACACCCACCTGCTCTGACTGGGTTCGGTATCCCGGCTGCTTCGTTTCTTGGGAAGTAAACCGAAGGACACAATTTTCGCACTTTCGAATTGCGATTGTACTCTTATAATTTTGTTTAGAAGGCCTTGTTAATTGGTGACTATTAACTGCCGTGACTCACTCATCAATCGACAAGGGATTAGGTCCCGGGGCGTGCAAATAACAATGATTTACCATCACCCACCAGTTATCTCCCCTTGTGGACATTTCCAAAATTGTAAATCTTTGGAAACATCATCTTCCCAAAATTGGAAATGTCTTGTAAACATGGACTTTTTTTCCAGTGTTAGTTATAGTAACATGTGGTACAGTTCCATTCAAATATATTTTCAAAACATACACGACAAGTGTTTTCGTACTTATCATTATGTAAAGTGAGTGGTGCTGGATTTATGGTCATGTACGCAGTGCCAGGTATTGGTTTTGTTAATGAATTTGTTATGATAAAACACTGATCAGATGAAAAACAAAATATTATGTTGTGATCTACCAAAAAACAAACAAAAAGTCCATGTCACACCACTTTATATGCTACTTCTCCCCGCCAGTGTATAATGTGACTGAGACATAGATGTCAGGTGAAATTGGGTTTAACGTCGTAACGTCGCTCATATGACGACGTGCAACGTTTGTGTATGTGTATGTGCGGCTGCTTGTACTAGCCCAGACTTAAACTGGTTTTATAATGCTAGCCCACTGAGATACCATGCCGCAGTGAAGCATGAATACCCCACTCAGGCGCATTATACTGACTACGAGCCAACCAGTCCTTGTTGTACACATTAATGCCGAGCGCCAGACAGGGACCATATTTTTACCGTCTTTTGGTATGACGCGGTCGGGGATCGAACTCGCGACCTTCCGCTCTCCGGGCGGACGCTCTAACCACTACACCACACCACGGAGGCGGTGGACTGAGAAATAGAAGGACGGTGACTGATGTATATTTTGTCTGTGGTACCTAGCCTTATTCACTTGAAAACACTACATTGACATGTTTGGAATCAATAAGTGATATTCTGAAGTTTTACTTTTATGCCTAGGATCCTGCAATATAGTAAGTATATTAGATTACACGGATTGATATATCTCATGTAACGTACGGTGAGATGCTTCAAAGTCATGAATATGTTCACTCAGACGTCGCACCCCCTCAGTGTTACGGAATCATATATGCTATTCTTAGAACTATTAATACATCACTCTTTTCTTGATTAGGTAGGTTCATGTTTTGAAGAAAGATATACGTAAAATAATGTTGAAGAAAAAGTAAAATAGGAAAATATACTTGGAATACGGTGATACCCAGAGACTTAAAAATGAAAAGAGATGCAAATGCGTGCCTTGAGTATCCTTGTTACATCAGTACTGAAACAGAGCCATTGTTTACTGTTTATTTCAAGATAGCTGTGACGTTGCATACTCATGATGTAGTTATATGTTATGATTAGTATTTTCCTTGCCAGTGAGACGTGGGTATACTCCAAATGCAACAGTTACTGCAGGAAGGGATGCTGTGTTAGTCTGCAATGGAGAACCATCAGAAATAGGCGTCTGGTATAAAGATGGTTACAGCTATTATATTGCGTATATATATGAATGGTCTGGAAACTGCAATTTCCGCTCGAACCAAATACTGCCTCGCCTGGAATTAGGAAGTTCAGACTGCAGAGAACATGCTCTCAGGATCTCAAACATCAGCAAGATACATGAGGGACGGTGGAGGTGTACGATCAAAATGGAAGAAAGGGCTGTCAATGTTCATGTTGTGGCATCACCTGCAGGTACTATACAACGATCCTTTGGGTAAAAGATGCACAGTAAATTCAAGTACCCCATAAATCCTCAGCAGCATATGTTTGCAGTTGACCAGTCATGTTGAAAATTTCATGTCTTTATACTCTGTGGGGCTATTTCCAGGACGGAAGTACAAGTGTTGTATGGTGTACTTGTAATACTTGCCTCAAAAAGAACAACACATCAAGACACACAGCACAACATACAGCACAACACACAACACAACATACAGCACAACACACAGCACAAAACACAACAAACACAGAACAACACACAACACACACAGCACAACACACAACACAAAGCACAACACACAGAACAACTAACAACACAACACACAGCACACACAGCACAACTCACAGCACTATACACACAGCACAAAACACAACAAACACAGCACAACACACAGAGCACAAAACACTCAACACACACTGCACAAAACACAAGAAACACAGCACAACCCACACAACCCAGCAAAACACAAAGCACACAGCACACACAGCACTAAACCCAACCACAGCAGAACACACAACACAAAACACAAGAAACACAGCACAAGTCACACCACAACAAACAGCACAACACACAGCACACACAGCACAAAATACAACAACCACAGCAAAGCACACAACACACAGCACAACACACACCACACACAACACACACAGCATAATACAAATTACACCACAACACAAAACACAGCACAACACTCAACACACACAGCACAACACACAGCACAGCACATCAAAACACACAGCAGAACGCACAGAACAAAAAACAACACACAGCACAAACCATCGAAACACAGCACAACACACAACACAACATAACACACAAAAAACAACATGCAGCACAACACACAACACACAGCACAACCTACACAGTCCGGCACAACACACAGCACAAACAGCACAAAACACAACAACCACAACAAAACACACTACAACACACAGAACAACACACAGCAAACACAGCACAACACACAGCACACACAACACAACACACAGCACACACAACACAACACTTAGCACAAGACACACAGGACAATACAAAACACACCACAACACAAAACACAGCACAACACTCAACACACACAGCACAACACACAGCACAGCACATCAAAACACACAGCAGAACGCACAACACACAGCATAACTCATCAAAACATACAGCACAACACACAGCATAACACACAGCACAACAAACAGCACAACACATAACACACAACGCACACAGCACAACACAGAGTACAACGCACAGAACAAAAAACAACACACAGCACAACACATCAAAACACAGCACAACACACAACCCACCATAACACACACAAAACAACATGCAGCACAACACACAGAACACAGAGTACAACACACAAAACAACACACAACAAACACAGCACAGCACACACAGTACAAAACACAACACAAAACAAACCACACAGCACAAAACACGCAACACACCAACACAAAAAAAGAAACACATTCCACAACACACAGCATACACAGCACAAAATAAAACAACCACAGCAAAAAACACAACACACAGCACAACACACAAAACACAGCGCAACACAAAACACAACACAAAACGCAGAACAACACACGACACACATAGCACAACACACAGCACAACACATCAAAACACACAGCACAAACACACAACACACAGCATTACACATGAAACACACAGCACAACGAACAGCATAACACACAGCACAACGCATAGCACAACACTTAACAAACAACGCACAGCACAACACACAGTACAACACACAGAACAACACACAGCACAACACAACACAAAACCAAAAAACAGCACAACACACAACACATACAGCACACCACATCAAAACACACAGCCGAACACACAACACACAGCATAACACGAGGCACAACACTCAGCACAACACAGCACAAAACACAACAAACACAGGACAACACACAACACAACACACAGCACAACACAGAACACAGCACAGCACAACACATCAACACGAAGAGCACAAGACACAGCACAGCACACAGCACAACACACAACACACAAAACAGCATGCAGCACAACACACAGCACACAGCACAACACATCAAAACACACAACACAACAGACAGCACACACAGCATAACACACAGCACACAGAACAACACACATCATAACACACAACACACACAGCATAACACATCTAAACACACAGCACAAACCGCAGCACACAGCATAACACATCAAAACACACAGCACAACAGCAAAACAGAACACACAGCACAACACATCAAAACACACAGCACAACACATCAAAACACACAGCACAACACACAGCATAACACATCAAAACACACAGCACAACACACCAAAACAACACAGCACAACACATCAAAACACACAGCACAACACATCAAAACACAGCACATCACACAACAGACAGCTTACCAAATCAAAACACACAGCACAACACACAGCAAACACATCTTAACACACAGCACAACACACAACACACATAGCATAACACATCAAAACACACAGCACAACACACAGCATAACACACACACAACAAACAGCACAGCACACCACACAACACACAGTACACACAGCACAACACACAGCACACTCAGCATAACAAACAACACAACACAACACACGCAGCACAAACCACAAGAAACACAGCACAACACAAACAGCACAAACACAACACAAAACACAACACACAGCTCAAAACAGAAGAAACTGAGCACAACACACGCAGCACAACACACAGCACAAGACAAAGCACAAAACACAACAAACACAGCACAACACACAGACAAACACCCGACACAAAACACTACACACACACAAACAACACACACAACACACAAACACGCAGCACAAAGCACAACACACAGCAGAACACACAGCACAAAACAGTAAAACACACAGCCCAACACACAGCACACACAGCTTAACACACACCACATAACACAACATACAACACACAGTACACCTCAAAGCACAACACACAGCACACAAAGTGCGCAACACACAGCACAACACACAGCACAAAACACAACACAAAACAAAACACACAGCATAAAACACACACAAAACACAAGAAACACAGCACAACCCACAGCATATCACACACCACAACGCACAGCACAACATACAGCACACACAGCACAACACACAACACATAGAACAACACACAGTCACTATAACATACAACACACAGCACAACACACACAACACACACAGCACAACATTCAACACACAGAACAACACACACAGAACAACACACAGCATAACACACAACGCATACAGCATAACACATGGGCGACCTGGCTAAGACGCCAGGCTAGTGATCCAGCGAGGTTGAGGTGCTGGGATGGAGCCCACCTGTGACCGGGTGTAAAAACCTTGGAGTCAACTTTGTGTGCAGACTCTTTCAGTGTTGTCACAACCCCTAGTGTACAGTAAACATCCCTGTGCACCTAGCACAAAACACAGCACAGCACACAGCACAAAACACAACAAACACAGCAAAAACACCCAACACAAAACACTATTCTCACAGCACAACACAAAACACACACAGCACTAAAACAACATAAAGCATACAACAAACAACACAACACACAGCACAAAACATTAAAACACACAGCACAACACACAGCACACACAGCACAAAACAAAACACACAGCATAACACAGTACAAACAGCACAACACACAAAACACAACACACTGCACAAAACAAAACACAAAACACAACACACGACACAATACACAGAACTCACAGCACAAAACACAACACACACAGCACAACACATCAAAACACACAGCAGAACACACAAAACACGCATCATAGCACACAGCACAACACAGAGCAGTACACACAGCACAGCACACAGCATAACACACACAGCACAGACAGCATTACACACAGCACAAAACACAGCACAACACACACAGCATAACACACCTAGCACAGACAGCACAAAACACACAGCACAAGAAACAGCACAAAACACAACACACGTAGCACAAACACAACACACACAGCACAAAACACGCAACACACAACACAATACAAACAGCAAAAACAAAACACACACAGCACAACGCACAGCACAAAACACAACAAAGACAGCCCAACACACAGCACAACACAAATCACAAAACACAACAAACACACCTCAACACACAGCCCAACACACAGCACAACACACAGCACAACACACAGCACAACACACAGCACAACACACACACAACACAGCATAACACACAGCGCAACACAACACAACACACACAGCACACACAGCACATCACAAAGAACAAAACACAACAAACACAGCATAACACACAGCACAAAACACACAGCACACACAGCGCAACACACAGTACCACAACCAGAACAAAACACAACACACACAGCACAACACTCAGCACAAAAGACAACAAACACAGCACATCACACAGAGCACAACACACAGCAGAAAACACAACACACAAAACAGCGCAACACATGAAAAACACAGCAGAACAGACAACACACACAGCACAACACAACACACACAGCACAACACACAACACACAAAGCCCAGCACACCGTAGAACACACAACACACAGAGCACAAAACACAACCCACAACACACACAGCACAACACACAGAGCACAACACACAAAACACACAGCACAACACACAACACACACATCACAACACATAACACACAGCACAACACGCAACACACACATCACAATACATCAAAACAAACATCACAACACACAGAAGACACAGCGCAACACAGAGCACAACACACACAGCACAGCACACAGGAAAACACATAGCACAACACATCAAAACACACACACAAAGGCTTCAAAACACACGGGACAACACATCAAGACACACACCACAACACTTCAAAACACACAGCACAACACATCAAGACACACAGCACAATAAACAGACACAGCACAACACAATAAAACACACAGCACAACACACACTGCACAAAACACAACACAAACAGCACAACACACAACACACACAGCACAACAGACAACACACATCACAACACGCAACACACACAGCAGAACACACACACAACACACAACACACACAACACAACACACAACACATTACGCAAACAATACAACACATCAAAACACACAGTACAACACATCAAAACACTCAGAACAACACACACAGCACAACACATCAAAACACACTGCACAACACATCAAAACACACAGAACACACAAGACACACAGCACAACACACACGACACACCGAAACACACTTATGCAACAAAAAAGCACAAATATACAACACAAGACACGCATAGGATCACCCAGGAACACACAGACGGAAATGCGCTCATGTCAAGCCATAACACACACATAAATACACACATATAAATACACAAAACACAACAAAACACAACACAAACACATACACCACACATTACCTCACAACATACAAGAGACACAAACACACACGACAAATCAGACACATCCCACACAATTTTCACACACACAGATATAGCTCAACACAACATACAAGAGACACACACACACACAAAAGACAACTTACACACATCCTACACAATATTCACACAGACAGATATAGCTCAACGCAACATACAAGAGACACAAACACAAAAGACAAATCAGACACATCCCACACAATATTCACACAGATAGATATAGCTCAACACATCATACAAACAAGAGACACACACACACACAAGGCAACTCAGACACATCCCACAAAATATTTACACAGACACATATAGCTCAACACAACATACATACAAGAGACACACACACACACACAAGGCAACTCAGACACATCCCACACAATATTAACATAGACAGATATAGCTCAACACAAGATACAAGAGACACACACACACACACACACACATCAAACACAATATTCACACAGACAGATATAGCTCAACATATCACACAAGAGACACAAACACACACACACATCCCACACAATATTCACACAGATAGATATAGCTCAACACAACATACAAGAGACACATACACACACACATCCCACAATATTCACACAGATAGATATAGCTCAACACAAGATAAAAGAGACACAAACACACACACATCAAACACAATATTTACACTGATAGATATCTCAACACAAGATACAAGAGTCACATACACACACACACATCAAACACAATATTCACACAGGTAGATATAGCTCAACACAAGATACAAGAGACACATACACACACACACATCCAACACAATATTCACACAGATAGATATAGCTCAACACAATATACAAGAGAGACACACACACACATCCCACACAATATTCACACAGATAGATATAGCTCAACACAACATACAAGAGACACAAACACACACACATCCCACACAATATTCACACAGATAGATATCTCAACACAACATACAAGAGACACATACACACACACGCATATCCCCCACAATATTCACGCAGATAGATGTAGCTGAATACATCATACAAGAGACACAAACACACACACACATTCCACACAATATTCACACAGATAGATATCTCAACACAACATACAAGAGACACATACACACACACACATACATCCCACACAATATTCACACAGATAGATATCTCAACACAACATACAGGACACACACACACACACACACACACACACACACACATATTAAGGATTGTGCCTGTGTCTGTTTTATGCTATCACAACATTTAAAGAAATAACAACTGTAAACGCAACGAGTCTCTTAAAAGAAAAAGCATTCAGACGTATTCTGTATTGCAATACATTTTACTATACGCCATAATAGATATAGAGAACTGCGATACCATAAACATATTATAATCGCTTTTTGATACATTTGATTATTTTCTCCATCTGTAATCACTGCTCATATTTTGTCTTAGAAACAACAACAAGCAGAACCCAGGACTCAGTAAATCCCCAAACACCATCTGTGACTTCCATGACAACCATCCTAGGTGGAACTGTTGGTGGCGCTCTGGCTCTACTGGCTGTCGTCATCACCGTCTGCTGCTTACTTCGATCAAAGAAAGACAAACGAAACAATGGCTGTAAGTACTGTATTGTGTACCAGTGAGTGGTGGTGTGATTTGGTTCAATGAAGCTTCCAAAAGTATTTCACAGGTTACTTGATATTCATATCAGGTGCATGGGTTGTGTCCAACGCCACTTTTAGCGTGTTCAAATTGTCTCACGTCGTGTAAGCTTCATGTGTGTGTGAGCGTGCGTGTGTGTGAGTACAGGTACAGTCAAACATACACAGTTTAGGGTGAACAACTGGGATTCGAACCCACAATTCTGGGATTCATGGCCCCGAGATATAGTGACACAACCCTGCCACTAGTGCCAATTTTATGTAAAAGGTCGTGCAGGTAAATGATGGAGGTGTGAGTGTTTAGGTTCATGATGATAAAACTGAATATTTGTTGTATCAGGGAATGTCAACGAGGTGTGGGAAAAGTGATTGATGTGTTTTGGTTTAATGCCAATTTAAAATGGATTTCAATTTTATCAGTTTATCAGATTGTTGTGGATTAAGGCGTTATCCACTACGTTGAAACCGATACTTCCACCGAAGTTCCACAAGCTCCTGGAATGCAAAAGGGCCGTAATTCTGCACAGCGAGTTAGGGTGGATGCCAAATATAGTTTATGTCATCGTTCACTTCGTATAACCTATTCCCAAATTCTCAGCAACACTACACACTTCCCCTGCTACTAACACTATACGCCCCCCCCCCCCCCCAATTTATTGAAAAGTGTATAAATAATTAGTCTAGTGTTGTTCTGTTCATATTTCCTCAGCAGCTCGGGGGCCTGTCAATGGGGATCATAGGTATGTATACAGATATTTCTTAATTCTCAGATTATTGAAATAACGAGGAATTCTAGTAACACTTTAGAGTTATGTCATGGAATTGTTGTCGTTATTGCTGTTGGTCACAGGTGACAATACGAGTATTAGTACAGTACAATGAAGGTTGAGAAATAGGGATTGATAAATATGAAAGGCTTTGCATGTTATGTAAAAATGGTATAGATAATGAAATCCACTTTGCCTTTACATGTCTTACTCTTAATAAACTGCAAGTAACATCCAATTGGGTAATTTGCTTTGTATTTCGTTTACTCTGTATGTGCCTCAGAAGAATACAATTCTACAGACAGTCAAAGTTCATTATCCTCAGCCAATAGACAATAATGCCTTCAAATACGGGTGCGTTTAAAGCCTCTTTGGATGGCATTCAGTCGTATCACTACCTGTAATTTTGATGTGGTTGGAAAGCCGCGGTAATGAAGGCATTTGATGTTTACGCTTTGGCTGAAACCCACGACCAGAGGTGCAACCTGATCACCTACCTTCACACACAGGATTCGAACCCTTGATCAGATGTTTCTCACAAAATGAAGTGTGGCACCTTATACGACTTGACCTACCCATCTGTTCAGTGTGCTAATAAAGGACATTAAATCGAAATTAAAACAATGGTTCAGAAGGATCTCTACCCAAAAGGAAATTAATACATTTTTGAGCTATGGGTGATTTTCACTGTTCAGTTTCAACTAAAGTGGTCCGATTATGTATGTGGCGAAACCCTGAATTAATGTAATCCTACATTTCTAACTTATCAGACATCAAGATCCTGAACAAAGAAAAGATGCTGGTGAGTACATACAAGTTTTAACCCTTTTGATGGATTTAAGAAAACTAGCATAAGGAAGAGAGTTTTTATGGATGTCAACTTCTTAATTGTGAAGAACACAACGTTTCGGAGTTTTTCCTTACTGCTTCATCTGGTGAATGAATGGTATGAGACAGAGAGCATATATATGTACTTATGCAACAAAAGTAATAAGACAAGAAACATGATGGTTAAACTATGGGTGGCCTATAACTTATAATTTAATCCCGGCTACCAGCTGTACACTCTTCATCACCAATCAACACTAATTAATTATTAAGTGTTGGTTTCCATTTATCCTTTGCCAATCACACATCAACGCCAGTAATTGTGTAGCCATTTATATGTGTATCACTTCTAAATGCCATTCAAAGACCTAATACTAGTATGTATTTGATTATATGTAAAAATAGTCAAAAAAACATTTCCTTTATACTTTTGTTTGTTTTTCTCCTCTGTTGTCTAACGCCTGTTTGTTCAGGTACATTTTCCGTCCCCTTTGCAGTGATGGTGGACAACGTCCTCTATGACAGTTACGGTGGAGACTAAACACCAGGGTGAGTCTATGGCATAGATTACAACAGATGGAAGTGCTAGCCTCGTGGTCAAAGTGCTGGCTCTTCAAGCCCAATACCAGGTTCGATTCCTCACCCAACCACAGGTGCAAGATTGTTTCAACATTGATAAGTAGTATCCGCCCCATCCCGTCTCTGAACCTTGTCACCATCTTCGGGACATTGACCCTGATCCATGTGTAACCATGTACTTCTGGCTCTGTGTATTTTCTATGTCTTGGTATAGTATTTGGTACTGTCTCCGTCTGATCCCCTGGCGCTCGCTGGTAGATCTCAACCTGACAGTGTGGTTGTAGAAATATATGCCATCCCGGATAAAGAACGAACATCAACACTGAATGGTGAGTCGCCTGGTAGATCACATCTTGACAGTGGGGTTGTAGACATATATGCCATCCCAGATAAACAACGAACATCAACACTGAATGGTGAGTCCCCTGGTAGATCACATCTTGACAGTGGGTTTGTAGACATATATGCCATCCCAGATAAACAACGAACATCAACACTGAATGGTGAGTTCCCTGGTAGATCTCAACATGACACTGAGGCTACTCACAAACTCAGAAAGGAAAGACAAATATTCCTGAATATTTATTGAATAATAATTTCCCTGGACAAGTTTTATGTCATGAAGGGATGTCCTAGACCCCCCCTGCAGTCATAAAACATATGTGTTCAAGCAGCGCTGAAGATGTACCAGAGTTTTAAGTGTTGGATGGCTGTCTGAAGGCCTGTTGAACTGACCAAGTAAAGCTAATCTTTTGCAACAAACGTGATACTAAAGTATATCGAATTCTTTGTATATCCGTTACTAGTAATGTTTGTGTAAATTAAGTCGACTTCTTCCTCGTAGAGGGGGCAGCTGCAGGTGATGTATACAGCGTGGTACAGAAACAACCCAAGTCCGAAGGTGAAACAATGCCACTCCAGTCAACGGGCAAAGATGGTAATTCAGGTCGTGTGTGAGAGAGGTCTTGAGTGATGTGTTGTGTGATGTCGTGAGTGAATGAGTTCGTGAGTGAGTGAGTGTGGTTGCACTTTGTTTCCAACAATATTCAATCTGAACAAAATCGGGCTGAGTGAGTGAGCTTTTATTGATGTGTACAATCTATTAATATTCTAGCTATCTCACAGAGCATTATTGTAGTTATATCACAGGACTTAATAATATTTTACATCAGAGGACATTATGTCAGTTATATCACAGAGCATTATGGTAGTTATGCCAGAGTATTATGTCAGTTACATCACAGGGCATTATGTAATTTATATCACAGAACATTATATCAGTTATATTAATGGACATTATGTCAGTTATATCACAGAGTATAATGTTAGTTACATCACAAGACATTATGTAAGTTATGTCACAGAACATATGTCAGTTATATCACAGAGCATTATGGTAGGTATGTCACAGAGTATTATGTCAGTTATATCACAGGGCATTATGTCAATTTTATCACAGACCATTGTGTCAGTTATGTCACAGAACATATGTCAGTTATACCACAGGACAAAATGTCAATTATATCACAGAACATTATATCAGTTATATCGCAGATTATTATGCCGGTTACATCACAGAAGATTATGTCACTTATATTAATGGACATTATGTCAGTTATATCACAGCGTATTATGTTAGTTACATTACAGGACATAATGTCAGTTATGTCACAGAACATATGTCAGTTATATCTCAGAGCATTATGGTAGGTATGTCACAGAGTATTATGTCAGTTATATCACAGGGCATTATGTCAGTTTTATCACAGACCATTGTGTCAGTTATGTCACAGAACATATACCAGTAATATCACAGAGCATTATGGTAGTTATATCACAGAGTATTATGTCAGTTACATCACATGACATTGTGTCAGTTATGTCACAGAACATATGTCAGTTATATCACAGGACAAAATGTCAATTATATCACAGAACATTATATCAGTAATATCACAGAGTATTATGTCAGTTATATGACAGGGTATTATGTAATTTATATCACAGAACATTATATCAGTTATATTAATGGACATTGTGTCAGTTATATCACAGAGCATTATGTCAGTTATATCACAGAGCATTATGGTAGTTATGTCACAGAATATTATGTCAGTTATATCACAGGGCATTATGTCTGTTTTATCACAGACCATTGTGTCAGTTATGTCACTGAACATATGCCAGTTATATCTCAGAGCATTATGGTAGTTATATCACAGAGTATTATGTCAGTTACATCACACACCATTATGTCAGTTTTGTCACAGAACATATGCCAGTTATGTCACAGAGCATTATGGCAGTTATATATCAGAGTATTATGTCAGTTATATCACAGGGCATTATGTCAGTTTTATCACAGACCATTGTGTCAGTTATTTCACAGAACATATACCAGTTATATCACAGAGCATTATGGTAGTTATATCACAGAGTATTATGTCAGTTACATCACATGACATTGTGTCAGTTATGTCACAGAACATATGTCAGTTATATCACAGGACAAAATGTCAATTATATCACAGAACATTATATTAGTAATATCACAGAGTATTATGTCAGTTATATGACAGGGTATTATGTAATTTATATCACAGAACATTATATCAGTTATATTAATGGACATTGTGTCAGTTATATCACAGAGCATTATGTCAGTTATATCACAGAGCATTATGGTAGTTATGTCACAGAATATTATGTCAGTTATATCACAGGGCATTATGTCTGTTTTATCACAGACCATTGTGTCAGTTATGTCACTGAACATATGCCAGTTATATCTCAGAGCATTATGGTAGTTATATCACAGAGTATTATGTCAGTTACATCACACACCATTATGTCAGTTATGTCACAGAACATATGCCAGTTATGTCACAGAGCATTATGGCAGTTATATATCAGAGTATTATGTCAGTTATATCACAGGGCATTATGTCAGTTTTATCACAGACCATTGTGTCAGTTATTTCACAGAACATATACCAGTTATATCACAGAGCATTATGGTAGTTATATCACAGAGTATTATGTCAGTTACATCACATGACATTGTGTCAGTTATGTCACAGAACATATGTCAGTTATATCACAATACAAAATGTCAATTATATCACAGAACATTATATTAGTAATATCACAGAGTATTATGTCAGTTATATGACAGGGTATTATGCAATTTATATCACAGAACATTATATCAGTTATATTAATGGACATTGTGTCAGTTATATCACAGAGCATTATGGTAGTTATGTCACAGAATATTATGTCAGTTATATCACAGGGCATTATGTCTGTTTTATCACAGACCATTGTGTCAGTTATGTCACTGAACATATGCCAGTTATATCTCAGAGCATTATGGTAGTTATATCACAGAGTATTATGTCAGTTACATCACACACCATTATGTCAGTTATGTCACAGAACACATGCCAGTTATGTCACAGAGCATTATGGCAGTTATATCTCAGAGTATTATGTCAGTTATATCACAGACCATTGTGTCAGTTATGTCACAGAACATATACCAGTTATATCACAGAGCATTATGGTAGTTATATCACAGAGTATTATGTCAGTTACATCACATGACATTGTGTCAGTTATGTCACAGAACATATGTCAGTTATATCACAGGACATTATATTAGTAATATTACAGAGTCTTATGTCAGTTATATGACAGGGTATTATGTAATTTATATCACAGAACATTATATCAGTTATATTAATGGACATTGTGTCAGTTATATCACAGAGCATTATGTCAGTTATATCACAGAGCATTATGGTAGTTATGTCACAGAATATTATGTCAGTTATATCACAGGGCATTATGTCTGTTTTATCACAGACCATTGTGTCAGTTATGTCACTGAACATATGCCAGTTATATCTCAGAGCATTTTGGTAGTTATATCTCAGAGTATTATGTCAGTTACGTCACATGACATTATGTCAGTTATGTCCCTGAACATATGTCAGTTATATCACGGGACAAAATGTCAGTTATATCACATAACATTATATCAGTTATATCACAGAGTATTATGTCAGTTACATCACACACCATTATGTCAGTTATGTCACAGAACACATGCCAGTTATATCACAGAGTATTATGGCAGTTATATCTCAGAGTATTATGTCAGTTACGTCACATGACATTATGTCAGTTATGTCCCTGAACATATGTCAGTTATATCACGGGACAAAATGTCAGTTATATCACATAACATTATATCAGTTATATCACAGAGTATTATGTCAGTTATATCGCAGGGTATTATATAATTTATATCACAGAACATTATATCAGTTATATTAATGGACATTATGTAAGTTATATCACATTGCATTATGCCAGTTATATCACAGAGCATTATGTCATTTATGTCACAGAACATGTCAATTATATCACGGAGTATTATGTTAGTTACATCTCAGGACATTATGTCAGTTATGTCACATAACATGTGTCAGTTATATCACAGGGCTTTACAGCAGGGCAAAATATCTGTTATATCACAGGAAACAATATTGTGTTATATCACAAGACACTGTCAGTTATATCACAGGGTATTATGTAATATATCACAGAACATTATATTAGTTATATTAATGGACATTATGTCAGTTATATCACAGAACATTGTGTCAGTTATATCACATGGCATTATGTCAGTTATGTCACATAACATATGTCAGTTATACCAAAAAGGATTATGCCAGTTATGTCACAGACCACTTTGTCAGTTATATCACAGAGCATTATGGTAGTTATGTCACTGAACATATGTCAGTTATATCACAAAGCATTATGGTAGTTATGTCACAGAATATATGTCAGTTATATCACAAAGCATTACGGTAGTTATATCACTGGGCATTATGTCAGTTTTATCACAGACCATTATGTCAGTTATGTCACAGAACATATGCCAGTTATGTCACAGAAGATATGCCAGTTACATCACAGAGTATTATGTCAGTTACATCTCATGACATTATATCAGTTATATAATAGGACGTTATGTCAATTGTATCAGTGCCTGTCCCCAAAATCGTGGAGATATCGACACACCACCCATGATAGTCAGCACGGTGCTTATAAACCTTGCAACCTAATCGGGACGAATTCGTATCCCGGAAGATTGATTTCTCGCTGACCCAGCGAAGTTTTAATAAACAAAGAAAGGCTTCGAAATGTGTGCATGTCTCAGGAGAAAACTTAGTAATGTTCTACCAATAGCATGACACGGAACACATGGAGTGTAGTTCATTCAGACTGGTGACTTCGAGCCGACAAATGAATGCTTTAGTTGCAAAGTGATGACGAACAACAAATAATTTTGAAGAAAGGAACAGGGCAGTTGACTCAGAGATTACATTGGTTCTTCGCGAGAGTAGTTTTCACATTTGGCATGTGGTATTCTAGTTTACTACCCGAGTGACCCTGGATTAGAACACGTCCTACGTAAGCCATGTTTATCATATGAAGCGACATCATCGATACGGAGGCCTGACAAGATGTGTCTACCATTTTACAGCTGGCGTTTACAGCAAACAAAAGCACTTGTGTTCACCAGCTACTGGCTGCACACATTGTTCGAATCCCGAGTCTGTGTGTCGAACAATGTCGTTTCCAAGGATTGTTCGGCACTTCACAGTACAATAGGTGCATGGAATACAATGGAATCGGGAAATGTCTGTAACTTCATTCTGCCACATGTTTGTATTCATACTTTTGTTTTATAGATGAGATGTCCGAGCTGTACAGCCAGGTTCAGAAGCCCCAGAAGAACGGGAAGTGAGACACGAGTTGAAGATATACGGCCATGTCCCATACAGTGGAGTACCTTTGTAGACTATACATGTGATGTATCATTTCCAAAGTTGATCCTTGTCGTTCCGATCTTTCAACACCACGTGATCAGACAAAAAAAGCAAATGATTATTGAAACTTTCTGCTTAAAACATGACGAGAGAAACGTTTTAATACATATTTTGTAAAAAAAACCCTGTCTATAGATAACCCTATATTTATTGTTTCAATGTTTCTGGCACAGTTCTAGTCATTTTGTTAACACTCTGTCGTAGGCTATACATAGTGATGTCATTTTGTTAACACTTTGCTGTGTTTTAGACACAGTGTTGTCAATTTGTTAAAGGTCACATGCAACGTAAAACACAACTTTGCAGATTCTGATACCTTTCGGTATGGACATACCGAAACAAATCGTCAAAAATGCAAATTCAACTTATAAAGTTGAAAAATAACGCGATGAACAAAAACGCGCGAAATCGGAGTTCAAACGTTTCACTAATTTTCCCCAGACTTTTCTGGGGAAAACGGGTTTCAACAGCTGGGCTGCGCTCATAGCACGTGCGCAAGTAAATAGGTTCGCGCAGCTTGGAAGCGGGTTGTCGGGTGAATACTCGGTGAAGGCTTTGGTGTGAGCTATTTTTCTAATGTTTTGTTGATATCTCACAGGCGCGAGCTTTTTATATGTTATGACAGTAAATTAACTGTTTATATAATTTCATTTGTCTATTTCACCACACGTTCTTCTTACCGAGACACTTTCTCAGTTCGATACTTAAAAGCAATGTCATTATTTAGCGTTGACAGAATTTCTATCTGTGATTAAGATATGTCTTTTTTCACAGACAAAACTCAATGTCTTGTTTTATTGACACCTGTGTGTCTGCCTGCGGTGTCCTCCCATTACGCAGACAGCCAGTTCGCAGACACCTTAAAACAACAACTTTTACGGTTCAGTGAACAGATTATCTACTACCTGTTACCTGCACATTATATTGGAATAGTCGAAATAAAAACACAGGAACAAACTGAAGCTATATTATTTATTTTGAAAGATGGATGAAAAGACAGTAATTTGAACAATTTATTTTCATAAACATTTCTAGTCTAACGGGAGTCGGCATCATCATATTGAAAACATTAGCTTCTCTATTAGAAATTGCGACACTGTTGTATCATATAAATCAAATAAAGACAAATGTGAACCTAAATATTATTCATATTGAATAAAGAAGTTATATGTTTTGCACACAATATTAAGATATATGACGAGTGCACTTAATTACGATATATTTAGAATAATGTTTTTAAAAAATGACGCATCATGTCAATGTGGCCATGGATGTGAGAATGTTTTTCATTACTTCCTTGAATGTCCATTATATACTACAGAAAGACATAAACTGTTACAATCTTAAGAAAGTATTGCTAAAATTAGAACACTGATTGGTATTAATCGTATCTTACATGGCAATGCAGGTGTATCATTTACTACAAATCAGAATGTTTTCAAATATGTACATATCTATATCTCTCCAACAAAACGTTTTCTCAATTAAGTTCTGTTGTACATATGATATTATTGGGAGGGGGGCTTTTCTATCAATAAACACAATATAACCTCTCAGTGACAAGCCTGTTTTTATGTTCGATAGTAATTGATAGTAAAATCAATTTTGAGAAGAGATATCATTTATCATTTAATCACAACAAAGTTATATTTACCCACAATCAAACTTCTCAGTAACGAACCTGTTTCAGGCTCACCCTGCTCTACTCACAAGACAGTGGATTGTTCCATTATACCCGTAGGTGTTACCCTAATTAACCTTCTAGTTCAGTGTCTGCCAATTGGGTGTCTGTCAAATGGGTGTCTGTTAAATGGGAGATAACCCTGCCTGCCTGTCTGCTAATGACAATATTCAATAGACAACTGCTATCACTGAGCACATGCAATTTGAACTTAACACCAATCAGGCTATACACCATAAATAAAACGCATTGATTTATGGCCCGAGTTCGGTCTCTGTCACATTATGTAATTACACAGACAGGCAGGTGTGATACTTGAACACATGACATGTTATGATGTCTGTTGATTGCAAAATGTTATACACAAAAAATGAGCATGTTTTACAAAACCCAACATCTCTATATACACACACAATGAGCCGTGCATGAGGGCGGCATCTGCAAATGAACCAGCCGTTACACTTGAGTGCACACCCACCCGCTCCGACTGGGTTCGGTATCCCGGCTGCTTCGTTTCGAGGGAGGTAAACCCAAGTACAAAATATTGCACTTTTGATTTGCGATTATATGCTTATAATTTTGTTTATTTGTTTTTTCATAATCAGCAATGCATATTATATGTCATGAATAAGTGATAATTGTGTTTTAATTATGTTTGATTTTTTGGTTGCATGTGACCTTTAACACTCAGCTGTATGGTAAACGCAGTAATGTCATTTTCATAATACTTTGCTGCTGGACGTGGTAATGTCATTTTGTTGACACTTTGCTGTTTGCTAAACGTCGTATTTTCATTTTGTTGACACTTTGTTGTTTGCTAAACGTATTTCTGTCATTTTGTTAACTCTTTGCTGTATGCTAGACATTGGAATGCCATTTTTAACACTTTGCTGCTAGACGTAGTATTGTCATTTTGTTGACACTTTGCTGTTTGCTAAACGTAGCATTTTTATTTTATAGACACTTTGCTCTGTGCTAGACTTAGTATTGTCAATTTGTTTGAACTTTGCTGTTTGCTAAACGTAGTATTATCATTTTGTTGACACTTTGCTGTATACTAGACGTAGTATTGTCATTTTGTTGACACTTTGCTGTTTGCTAAACGTAGTATTATCATTTTGTTGACACTTTGCTGTATACTAGACGTAGTATTGTCATTTTGTTGACACTTTGCTGTTTGCTAAACGTAGTATTATCATTTTGTTAACACTTTGCTCTGTGCTAGACTTAGTATTGTCAATTTGTTTGAACTTTGCTGTTTGCTAGACTTAGTATTGTCATTTTGTTGACACTTTGCTGTTTGCTAAACGTATTATTATCATTTTGTTGACACTTTGCTCTGTGCTTGACTTAGTATTGTCATTTTATTTGAACTTTGCTGTACATATACTAGACATAGCATTGTCATTTGTTCATGTTCTGATGTATGCGTACTGAAACCTTGCTGATTCTGGACCAATCACGGTTTTGATCAACTGCGGCACTTGAAAAACTTGATTCAGTTCTTCTGAGATGCCCAAATGCACTTCTTGTCGGCCCTACAGAACAATAAATGATTTCTCAGTTAAAAACAGTTTAGTTTATATTGTGATGTCCGAGACGAGGAAAACAGATGTATCGAGGAATTGTGCTATTTCCTTTCTGCTCAATACTTGATAACAAATGTGTCTATGGATGTTATTGACTGGTCAGAAAATGGACCACGTCGGCTGTCACCTTTCTATTACACTGATTCTGTTTGCCTACTGTCTTCTGTTTATCCCGATGCTCTCTGATATTGGCAGTTATGGTCTGATCATATATTGCTTCCTCACCAGCGATTTTACTCAGTGTTTTATTTGGTTCGACGACTCGTGAAAGTCCGGGTTCGAATCGATCTTCAGTAACCCATGCTTGTCGTAAAAGGCGACTCGCTGACTTGGTTGACACATGTCATCGTATCCAAATTGTGTAGATCGATGCTCATGCTGTTGATCACTGGATTGTCTGGCCCAGACTGGATTATTTACATACCGACACCATATGGCTGGAATGCTGCTGAGCGCGGTGTCAGTGAGATTATAGCCATCGTCCAAAGATTAAAAAATATCAAGGCCCCAGGGTCCGATGGACTCGCTAACAAGCATGTCAACTATGCAGGTAGATCTTTAATCAAACAGTATCATCACATACGAGTACATTCCACAAGCTTTTAATGTTGGCCACATTCTACCCCTGGCCACGGTAAAAGTAAAGCTCTCCTCTCCAGCTACAGAGGATAAACATTAACGTCGATTCTTAGTAAACTGTTTGAAAGATTGCTCCTTAACATAATTGAAAAGTAGACAGCTGAAAATATAACGTTTCCCCACAACTTCCAATTTGGCTTTAGAAAAGACTTCAGTGCTGAGACAGCAGCTCAAACACTTGTAGAAAGTATTGTATCCTATAACGAAAGAGAGTTCCTTGATAACGAGAAAGAATTTAACCGTGTTTGCTTTGACGGTCTATTCTACAAACTCTACAATCTTGGAATTACTGGAAAACTCTGGCGGATACTACGCCTATCCTATAGTTCATTGCATTCATGTGTAATTATTTTTTTAAGTTTTAAGAAATGCCCAGGAATACGACTAGCCGATGACAAAACGTTTCTCACCAATAATCCAACATATCTCCAAAGACTGTTGAAGGTGACTGAACTATATATACTGACCACATAAAGAAACTGTGCACACAAAAAATATAAATATAGGCACACAGCGCATTTATACATAAATACATTTGTGAACATAGCAAGCATTGACGGTGGCGTAAGGCCTTGCAATGTGTTACTGCACGTGCAGCCCGTACAGATGCACACAACATGTGAAACTCTGAAATTGCTGTCAGTGTCGAAAGCTTGATCTTTGGTCATTCAAACGCTCACCAATTCACATGAGAAGTCGCACGCACATCATGCCAAGATTAACATCTGCTCAACGTCATGAAGCCATTGGAATGGTTCGAGCAGGAATGAGCCAACAACAGGTGGCAGCACATTTCCAATGGCATCGTAACACGATATCTGCATGGGTCAGGCGTTATCGAAACAGTAATGACGTCGCCGACCACCAACGTTCTGGGCGTTCCCGACGTAACGACGCCAAGACAGGACAGATGGATTCGGGTGACTCATCTCAGACACAGGTTCCAGACAGCAGTGACCACGTCCCAGACCATTCCCCAGGCCTTCAATGTTCATTTGGTAGCCTCTATGCCTCTTCGATGCACTGCTGTGCTTCACGCACACGTTTGTCATACCCGTTATTGACTTTGTGACTTCGTCGTGTGACCCCCTACTCGATTTTGAACTTCTGACGTCATCGTTACGGATATTGTTCATGTTCTTTTGACATTTTCTTGTGGTCAGATACTTCAGCTTATAACGTGTCTACATCATTTCGTCTTTGCTGTGATGTATTCCAATTATGAAGTTTCTTTATGTGGCTAGTATATATGCAAATAATTGGCAGCTTAAATACGATGCAGCAGAGCATCCCTACCTGCAAACCTGTATCTAGGAGAAACTAATCCCCCCATTAAATGGTCTGTAGTATATGCTGGA